AGAGAGAGAGGGCTTCCATGCGCTGGTTCACTCCCCAGATGGCCATAATGGTCAGAGCTGGGCTGATCTGAAGCCAGGAGCCAGGAGCTTCTTCTGGGTCTCCCACATGGGTGCAGGGCCCCAAGGACTTGGGCATCTTGCACTGCTTTCCCAGGCCACAGCAGAGAGCTGGATGGGAAGTGGAGCATCCAGGACTTGAACCAGCGCCCATATGGGATGTGGCCCTGCAGGCTGCGGCTTAGTCCACTCTGCCCCAGCGCCGGCCCAAGGTGCCCGTTCCTTCCAGCCACCGGGGCGGTGCGCAGAGAGGGAAAGGGCCTTCTGTGCCTTCATTCTGACCTCCTCCTCCGAGAGCAGGGCAGCCGTCACGCACTCCGCACGATCATCTAGTTCTTCAATTCTAGTGCGCACTTCAGCGGTCTCTGCGTCGCTAACTCCTGCCCCCAGGAACACATCCCCTGGAATCCCAAAGCGTCCTGGGTCCCAGCTGCCTTCCCAGCCTCTTCTGGGTCTGCGTTGTCACCTGCGGGCGGGCAGGAGGCCTGTTGGTTAGTGGGTTCCTCTCAGCCGCGCCCTCTGCTACTTTGTTTCCGTTCATCTTTAGCCTGGGCTGCCTCCTTTGCCAGGGGACCTGCAGCTGCAGATTGGCCCTGTCTGGGCCGGGGGAGGGGAGCTATGCCCTCCGGAGCCCACAGTTCTGCCCTGTCATTCTTCCCCAGGCAGTGCAGTGTAACAAGCCCTGACCGCGCGGCTACCGTGGGCCAGGCTCTGGTAGTAACCTAGAGATGGCCGAAGCATCGTGTGGACGCCAGAGCTTCTGTGCCCGGGGACGGAGCATCTGCCGGGTTCGGTACCCGCGGGGCCTCCTGGATCCCGTCACCTGCAGACCCCTCGGGTGGCCGTCCCGAGTTCCCACTTGCACCCGAGTCAGTTCTGGACTTCCTGTCCTGCCCCATCCCCGGTCCATTTTCGGCCCCTAGCCCGGAGCCACGGAGGCAGACGTGGGCAGCTCTGCTGTGCCCTCTGTCGGGTGGGCTGGCCGCCCCCTCTCAGGCTCCTGGGAGTTCTCGCGCCTCCTTTCCTGGGTGGACGTCCAGCAGGGTCTGCACTGGGGCTGTCTGGGCACGGCTGAGTGGCAGAGACGCTGAGGTCGCCAGTCTGTGGCGCTGTTCCTGGAACTCACGGGTTCTGCATCAGGGAGAGGGAGGGCCAGTCTCTCCGTCCTTGTTCTCACTTAACGCCCTCTTTTTTCTAAGGATTTGTTTGTTTATTCAAATGCCAGAGAGAGAGTGAGACACAGAGAGGCAGAGAGGTCTTCCACTTACTGGTTCACTCCTCAGATGGCTGCCAGGGCCAGGGCTTGGCCAGGCCAAAGCCAGGAGCTTCTTGCAGGTCTGCCACGTGGGTGCAGGAGCCCAAGGACTTGGGCCATCCTCTACTGCTTTCCCAGGCCACAGCAGAGAGCTGGATCAGAAGTGGAGCAGCCGGGACTTGAACCATCGCCCACATGGGATCCCAGCACTGCAGGTGGCAGCTTAACCCGCTCTGCCACAGCGCCGGCCCCCTCACTTAGCACTTTTAATTAGCAATGGATTTCCTTTGCAAGGCGACCCAGGGACATCACAGTTCCCAGCAAGATCTCAAGGCTGTCACTCAGCAGGTCCCACAGGGAGCCGGTGACAGTGCAGAGGCCTGGGCCTGCACGTGGTCTTGCTGGAGGCTGCTGTGGACAGGCACGCGTGCCCGGGCCCTGCAGCCGGGGCCTCCCCGCCTGGCGCTCGCTGTCGGCCGGGCGGCCTGGCTCACACGGCAGCCTCAGCTCCCGCCTCTTCGTGCGGCCCAGGCGGACGGATCCCCCGCGAGCCAGGAGCTGCCGGAGACTGAAGTCATCCTGGGAGGGAGATTTCATCCCCCTGGCCACATTCCTGGGGTGACGTGGACGTTGCTAGTCCAGGGTGCGGCTACAAGCCCGCGAATTAAACTGCCTTTATCTTGATCACTGGGAATTCTTAAGAAATCACTACAGTGTCACTCCCCTGTTTGCTTATTTGCCCTGTGCTTGCCAGAATAGGTTTTTAAAAAATATGTTTATTATTTATTTGAAAAGCAGAGAGAAATGGGACATCCTCCATCCACTGGTCGGCCCACAAATGCCCGCAACAGCCCGGGCTGGGCCAGGCTGAAGCCAGGAGCCAGGAGCTCCGTCCAAGTCTCCCTGTGAGTGGCGGGGGAACCCCTTTGGCCCCATTTCCCAGAGGCCATTCTCCCACCCTTGGCCGTGGCCGGAGCTGGCGCTCACCACCGAGGGGTGTCTGCAGTGGAAAAGACCTGGTGGGAGCTGGGGCTCTGTGCATGCCGGCTGCCCATGCGCTCAGGGCACACGAGAATACCCAGTGTGCGCCACGCGTGTCGGGAGAGGTCAGTTTAGGGACACAGGTATTGGACCTCTAGGGAGAGCTCTTTTTCTTTTCTTAAGAAAGGATTTATTTTATTTATTTGAAAGCTACAGAGAAAGGTAGAGACGGAGAAAGAGAGAGGTCTTCCATCCGCTGGTTCACTCCCAAAATGGCAGCAATGACTGGAGCTGTGCCAATCTGAAGTCAGGAGCCGGGAGCTTCTTCTGGGTCTCCCATGCGGGTGCAGGGGCCCAAGGACTTGGGCCATCCTCCACTGCTTTCCCAGGCCATAGCAGGGAGCCGGATGGGAAGTGGAGCAGCTGGGACTAGAACCTGCGCCCACATGGGATGCTGGCGCCTCAGGCCAAGGCGTTAACCTGCTACACCACAGTGCCGGCCCGTGAGAGCTCTTTTTCAGAACGAGCCCTGGCTGCCTGACCTGTCCCCGATGTCACATTAATGCAATCACACCTCTTACTTGGACAGTTTCGGTTGCAGGAAGGCTGAGGGCAGAGCCGACCTGTAGGACATTAGGCCAAGGGCAGGAGCCGGGCTGCCCCAGAGGGCTGTGGGGCAGTGGCTACAGGAACCCCTCTCCGGGCACTGCCCTGGCGAGGCTCATTTCAGGCCTGGGGCCTTGTCTGTCCCCTCAGGTTCCAGGGGCAGGCTGGGCTCTGGGGGTCTCCGCCCACCCACAGCTCAGGTACCGGGACAGGACGGTGGGAGCCGGGGCAGCCAGGGGAGGTGATTCCAGCATGAGCAGGGGGCTTGGATTGGACGGGGGGAGGGGGAAGCAGGCCTGGTCTGCTGCTGGCTGGTCCCAGCGCTCAGGGAGCCGTCAGCCTGGGGCCCGGAACGGTGTTGCCAGCAGTTCTGCGTCATCTTTGGATTTTCCTGTGTTTTTGTCTTTGCCTATCCCCTCCCCTAAGCAAATGCCCTCTGGGTGGGGTCACGGACGGGTGGACCCCTGATGTTTGTCACAGAGTTAACAACAGCAGCGAATGCCTCACTGCGTTTTTGAGCTCGTGGGCTTTTGGAGCAGCCCCTCCCGTGCACCTGCTGCTCGCCCCTCCTCTCTCTGAGCACCTGCCCCCCTCTCCGTGCACCTGCTGCTCACCTGCCCCCTCATCTCTCCCTGCACCTGCCCCCTCCTCTCTCCATGCACCTGCTCCTCTCTCCCTGCACCTGCCCCCTCCTCTCTCCGAGCACCTGCCCCCTCCTCTCTCCCTGCACCTGCCGCTCACCCCCTCCTCTCTCCGTGCACCTGCCCCCTCCTCTCTCCGAGCACCTGCCCCTCTCTCCATGCACCTGCTGCTCACCTGCCCCCTCATCTCTCCATGCACCTGCCCCCTCCTCTCTCCGTGCACCTGCCGCTCGCCCCCTCCTCTCTCCATGTACCTGCCCCCTCCTCTCTCCATGCACCTGCTGCTCACCTGCCCCCTCCTCTCTCCGTGCACCTGCCGCTCGCCCCCTCCTCTCTCCCATGCACCTGCCCCCTCCTCTCTCCATGCACCTGCCCCCTCCTCTCTCCATGCACCTGCCCCTCCTCTCTCCCTGCACCTGCCGCTCACCCACTCCTCTCTCCCGTGCACCTGCCCCCTCCTCTCTCCCTGCACCTGCCGCTCACCCCCTCCTCTCTCCCGTCACCTGCCCCCTCCTCTCTCCATGCACCTGCCCCTCCTCTCTCATGCACCTGCCCCTCCTCTCTCATGCACCTGCCCCTCCTCTCTCATGCACCTGCCCCTCCTCTCTCCCGTGCACCTGCCCCCTCCTCTCTCCCTGCACCTGCCGCTCACCCCCTCCTCTCTCCGTGCACGTGCCCCCTCCTCTCTCCATGCACCTGCCCCCTCCTCTCTCCGTGCACCTGCCACTTGCCCCCTCCTCTCTCCGTGCACCTTCCCCCCTCCCTCTGTGCACCTGCCGCTCACTTGCCCCCTCCTCTCTTCCAGGGCCCCTTGCTGCTGTGCTTCGAGCAGGAGCTGCAGGAGCCGCCGCCGCCCCTGGCACTGGCCGTGCAAGACGTCTCCAGCGAGCTCAGGTCGGCCCAGGAGAAGGTGAGTGGGGCTCGGCTCTCGCAGGAGGGAAGATGGGCAAGGGAGGGGCTTGCGCTAAAATTACTGACCCCACAGGACCCCCCTGGGGAGGGGGCCCAGCCGTGGGCCGATGAGGGGTGAACCGACGGAGGCTCCACCTGGAGTGCGGTCCTGATGCAGGCTGGCGGGGCGGCGCCTGGGGCACCACGCCCCCTAGCAGGTGGCTCCGCTGATACAGAAAATCCAGACAAGGTGAGTTAGTGAGACAGAAAGCAGATTGGTGTTAGTGCTGGGGAGGACGTGGAGAGGGACTGCCGCATGTGTACAGCGTTTATTTATTCCATAAGCATTTATTTATTTGTTTGAAAGTGGGGGCAGAGATATCTTCCATCTGCTGGTTCACTCCCCAAATGGCTGCAATGGCTGGGCTGGGCCAGGCTGAAGCCGGGAGCCTGGCGCTCCATCCGGGTCTCCCCCGCGGGTGCAGGGGCCCAGGCACTGAGGCCACGTTCTGCTGCGTTCCTGGGTGCGTGAGCAGGGAGCTGGGAGGGAGGTGGAGCCGGCGCTCCGGTGTGGGATGGCAGCGTTGCCAGGGCGCGGGCCGCAGAGCGGGGTCTCCTGTTGGGAGGGGGAAAGCGTTGTCCTGGAGACGCTTGCTGTGGCTGACCCCTCTGGCTGCGTCCACAGCCCGGGAATCGGGCCGCCGAGAGGGGCGAGCTACCTGCTGCGTGAATTGTGTCTCACAGAGCTGACGTGGACACGCGTGTTCTGTGACGTGACGAACACATCCGTGCTGCCCAGCCGCTGAGCGGCTTAGCTTCCTGTGGGTAACAGCTCGTGGGCCATACCTGCTTCTTGGATTGGCTGGAAACCATAAATCGTAAAGGAAGTTTCTGTCACAAGCCCTAAGAGACGACGTCCCCTTTGATACAAGGCCGACCCTCCACTTATTGTACTGTTACTGATACCCTCCCGCTCTGAATTTTTAACCCAGGATTAAAAATGTTTCAACTGGGGGCTGGCACTGCGGCACAGTAGGTTAATCCTCCGCCTGCAGCGCCAGCATCCAGTATGGGCACCGGTTTGAGTCCTGGCTGCTCCTTTTTCAATCCAGCTCTCTGCTACAGCCTGGGAAAGCAGTGGAGGATGGCCCAAGTCCTTGGGCCCCTGCCCCTGCGTGGGAGACCTGGAAGAAGCTCCTGGCTCCTGGTTCCTGGCTTCGGGTCGGCTCAGCTCCGGCCATTACAGCCAGATATCTGGGGAGTGAACCAGCAGAAGGAAGACCTCTCTCTGTCTCTCCCTCTCACTGTCTGTAACTCTGCTTCTCAAATAAATAAATAAAATCTTTTTTAAAAATGGCTCATTTTGGGTGGGCGTCTGGCGCAGCAGCCGACGTCTCCTCTTGGGACGCCCATCCCACGTGCAGGGCCTGGGCGAGTCCTGGCTCCTCTGCTTCCTGCCCTGCAGCCCGGAGGCGGGCAGGTGATGGCCAAGTCCGGGGAGGCTGAGCTGAGTTCTGGGCTCCTGACAGCAGACTGTCCTAACCCTGGCCGTGGCAGCATCTGGGAGTGAACTGACGGCCGGACGGCCTCTGTCTGCCCTCCCCCCTCTGTCTCTGCATTCCAATCAAATGAGAATAAATCATTTCAACGTGGCTTATTGGCTGGTGACAGTCGACACGTGCGAAGAGCTGCTCCAAGGGCAGAGCGGTGCCGGCGGCCACGGCCACGGCTGCCCTCCGAGCCCCGGCTCTGTGCAGCCAGAGACGCACTGAGCTTGTGTGCAGGGCGTGACCAGAGCTTCCTGTCCACGCGCGCCCTGTCCACGCGCGCCCACGTCCAGTTCCCACACATGCGCACAAACACTGTGTCTTTCTTCTTCCTCCCTCCCTCCCTCTCTCCCTTCTCTTTCTTTTGGAAGGCAGAGTTACAGAGAGGCAGAGGCAGAGAGAGAGGTCTTCCATCTGCTGGTTCTCTCCCCAGATGGCCACAGTGGCTGGAGCTGGGGCGATCTGAAGCCAGGAGCCAGGAGCTTTTTCTGGGTCTCCCAGTGGGTGCAGGGGCCCAAGGACTTGGGCCTTCCTCCACTGCTTTCCCAGTCCACAGCAGAGAGCTGGATAGGAAGAGGAACAGCCAGGACTCAAACTGGCACCCATATAGGATGTCGGCACTGCTGGCGGCTGCTTTACCCGCTACGCCACAGCGCCGGCCCCGTGTGTGTTTTAAAGATTCTGCCTAATGCTCACAGGTCCACCTGCACTTTACTGTGGGGGAAGGGACAGGAGTGTGGCTCCAGGTGGAGGAGAGCTCTGCCGGGCCCCGCCCTCGGCTCCTCTGCACGGATGTGCTGGTCGCTCTGCCTGTGCGGTTACGCGAGCAGCTCTGTGTTTGCCGGACATGGGATCGTGAGCCCTCACGCAATGCGTTTGTTCTCACTGCAGCTCGGGCCCGGGGCGCAGCCCAGCTCCTGCTGCACCTGCTCACGCGGGGTGGCCTCCTCAGGTTGCAGCGACGCGGCTGGGAGCGTGTGTGTTTGCTGTGCACGTGGACTTGCTGCTGGGCCCCAGGTGTGCTTGCCTCGGCTTGGCTGCCGTTTCTAGCGCTGGCCCCCAAAGAGCCACGTCAGCTGTCTCGGGCCCAGCGCCGGGGGGGGCGGAGAGTTCTGATTGTCCAATCCTGGGGTCACACCGCTGTCTGCCGTTGGCAGGTGGGGGCTGCCGGAGGATGCCCAGCATGCTGAGTCCAGCACCGTGTGAGCCTGGCGGCAGACGGCCCAGTGCCTGTGCCGTGGCTGGGGGCTGCAGGCCTGAGCTGCCCAGGGCCGTGAGCGGCCGCTGTGTTGGTGCAGACGGTGGCTGAGCGCTCCGTGGCCGGCAGCCTCTCTGGTGCTCTCTGCCAAGAGCAGGGTGCAGGGCCGGCCTGGCGGGGAGAGGGCAGCAGAGGCGTGGACAGAGCACTCGCCTGCACGCAGGCGTCTTCACGCTGCCCGGGAAGCAGCCCCAGAGGTGGGAGTGAGAGGATACTCTTCCCGACGAGCTGGGGGACCGTGTGCGCGGGGAAAGCTAAGAAGGGCGCAGCGTCAGTGCACTCTCGGCCTCGCAGCTGTGGTCTCCCGGTGGCTGACGGATAGAAGCAGCCTCAGCGTCCGGCGCCGGGGGCTGGGCAAAGCGCGGGCCACGCCCACGATGGAGTACCATTCAGCCTTCCCAAGGCACGGGGCCCTGACCCTGCTGCCGCCAGGATGCGCCTTGTGAGTGAGGTAAGGTCACCAGGCGCCAGAGAGCAGGTGCCGTGGGGCTCTGCCTGCGTGCGGTCCCCAGAGGAGGCCAGTGCACAGGGCTGCCAGGGGCTACGGGGAGGAGGACGGGGGCAGAGTTTCAGCCGGGGATGGGGCGCGCTCCTGCAGAGGGGGTGGGGGGTGCTGGCTGCACAGCCGTGTGCCCGCGCATGCACCGGCCTGTGCCCCCAGAGGTATCCTTAGCCTCTCTAGAAGCTAAGAGCTTTGCGAAACAGTTGCATTCTTTCAGGGAACACACTTCGTTACAAAGCTGCCTCCACTTGCCGGCCGCTGTCAGGTATCCGCGGGTTCACAGGCTGGCACACGGCCGGGCTTCGGGCCTCGTGGCTCCGCGCTGGTGTGGGCACAGAGATGCTGCTGTCAGCATGCACTCGACACAGGCTCACGGCAACCTGAGAGACACACAAGCCTATTTTGCCACATAAGCTGCCCTGGTCTGGTGCCTGGCGAGGGGCCGTGCCCGTGCGTGGTCAGTGTTTAGCGATTTCTCCCCGGTGCCGCCCACTTAGAGTCCACCTGGTCCCCTGCCTCCACGTGTGCTTAGCCCGCCCCAAAGATCTCATTAGCGACGGAGTGGCTGTGGGTGTTGGCATCTGGGCCACGGCTGTGGTGGACGGGGCTGGAACGGGGCTGCCCGGCCCGGGCCCTGCCCCGGCTCCCCTCTCCCGCCCACGCTCTGTGTGGCTTCGCTGCCCGTCTGTGCCGAGGGGAGCGAGTCCATCTGGCACGCGCACGTGGACCCGCGCCGAGCAGAGAGGAGCTCCGTGGTGGGGACGCTCTCTTCCGCCTGCCCCTGCTGTCCCGGGCAGCACCTCTGCTTCCCTCCCACTTCCTGGAAGGCCAGGTGCTTGCGAAAGACTAGGAACGTGTTTAGGGTCTTGGTAGATTGCCACGGGGCAGCCAGCCGTAGGAAGTGGGTACTTCGATTGTGTTTGTTTTAATACAACCACGGAAGTAGTACACGCTCATTAAAATTTTTTTTAAAAATAGAAGTATGTAAGCTTTTTAGAAACAAAATTTACCGCTTTCTTTCCTGGCGCTCCCTGCACCTCCCCACCGCCGTCCTGCCAGGAAGCGACGGCTCCTGTCCTGCTCACCCGCTCCTCGGAGTTCATGGAAGCCAGGGGCGGGCGCACACGGGGTCTTGTTTTGTGAGGGAGGGAGGGAGCACTTGGCTCTGCTTCGTCCTGGCCATGGCCAGGGCTGTCTTCTGAGATGGAGCAGGGGCCCGGCAGGTGCACGGCCCCCACCCCTGAGCGGCTGCCCCCACGGCCACTTGGCTGCAGGGATGGGGGGGTGGACTCGGTGGTCTTGAGAGTGTCACGATGACCAGCCCGGGCCGAGGTCACCCCCCAAGGGGTCCTGTCGGAACGGTGACTAGGAGCGGCCGCCCCCGGTCCTCGCGTCCTTTGCCATTCTTGGGCACCCGTGGCACAGCTGGTTTTAGGAAGGCATCTTGCGGCGTAGTCCAAGCGTCTCCTGCAGCGTGGCTGGGCAGGCCGCTGCCTAACATGCATGCGTTCACTGCGGCTGCGAGACCCCAGGGCCTCGTCCCAGGAGCTGGCCCCGAGAGCCGCGTGCGGGCTCCACGCTGACGAGCCGCTCTCCGTCCACGTCCTAGTGCGTGCTTTCTGCTGAGCGTAATTGTTCTCTTCATCATAGAGATTTGATGTGTTCATTCTCACTTTTATTTGAAAGTTACTTGGACAGAGAGAGACAGATCT